TGCTCTGGCACTGGGCAGATGCACAAGGAGCTGCGAGGGAGCATGGCTGAGACACCTGACCTAAACTGGCCAAAGGGATATTCCACACCATAGAACATCATGCTCAGCATATAAAATGAAGGAAGTTGGCTGGGAGGGGCAGATCACTGCTGGGGGACAGGCTGGGCATCAATGAGCAACTGTGTTGTGCATCACTTGTCTTTCTTGGGCTTTATTTGTCTCTCTCTTTGTGTTGTTCCCCTTTTCATTACACTATCCTTAGTTTTATCATATTTTATTTCCATTATTAAACTGTTCTTAACTCAAAGGTTTTACCTTTGTTTTCCCAATTCTCCTCCCCATCCCACAAGGGGAGAGTGGTGTGGTGCTGAGTTGCCAACTTGGGTTAAACCACAAAAAATTACTTAGCACACCTCTATACACTTCCTCTCTTTCAAATTTAGTACAAGGGGATGCTGATGTGCTTTCTGTGAAGACATGGAGCAAGGCAATTCAATTAAGAAAAAGCATCCTGCAACTTGTTCCATAAGGCACTCTCTGAAAATGTAACTACAACTGAATAAACATCTCACTTTAGCTTAAACTAGATCACTTTAGTTTGAATCTATAAAACGAGTCCTTGACTTGCACCCATTCATTGCTGTGTTAAACCAAATAGTCCATGTTTGATTAAGAATGTTTTAAGCGAGTATGTTTTGTTTTGGTGGGAAAACTTGTGAAAATTAAGATTAATTCACTTTCTGAATTGTTTTTCCTTGCAAATCTACCTTTTGCAAATAGAAATGTCTGCTTCAGGGGGTTGAATCATTCTAGCTTAAAATTTCTTGTTATTTTGTGAATAGTTTTTTTTTTTTGAAGAAAAGTCTGTGAAAAGGAGCAAAATGCATGTTATGCATTGGTAATTCTCTAATTACTGGATGTGTTATAAAGCTGCACTGTAAAACCACAGAAGTCTAATAAATCAGTTTGACAAGTTGCTACAGACATAGGCAGACAAAATCTGGAGTAAGTCAAACAAGATACTGAAATTTTGATTTATTTAATTTCCACCCCCCCCCCCCAAATTTTCTCTGTTCTTCACCATTTATCTGTTGACTAGTGAGCTTATCTATTGCGCTTATCTTAGCTGTGAACATGGCAGTTAAAAAGCTTCTCTTTGAATTTGAGAGGTGTCTACAGACCTAGCTCTCTAAGATATGGATTTATTTTGCCTGTCTTTAGCCAAGAAAATTTTAATATGTGCTACTTATCCAGGCTGTCTCTCAACAGTTGTCGGAGGGATACGGAAAATTCCAAATGGTATTTTTTTAACACGTTCTCTGAACTCACGAGAACTGTGAAAGCAATCATTTCAGTTGTTAATAACATATTTATGTACACAGTCATACATATCAATAATTCACTATATCAACAGATCTTTAATTTACAGTTAGAAGTGAACATTTCCCATTTTCTTTAATCTTGTTAGTGCGAGTAGCAATTACAGAGATGCTAAAATGGTTGTGACTTCAGTCGGAGCACTGCAAGTCCATAAGTCTACCTTTGGATTATAAAAGCATGCATCCACTTAAGGGAATTTAATTACAATTCATTCAAGAAGAAATTGCCTTATAAGCACAATTGCTCTCTGTAACTCTGGATTCAGCTTTTGGCCTTGACAAAAATGATTGTGAGGAATGTTTATTAACCATGAAAGTATTTCTTTTCTAACATAGAAAGTAGAAAAATTGTGTCTTAAATAATTTTTTTGCTGCAATTTGCCAAAACATACATACTTTACTGAGTTTTTCAGAGTTTTATAAATTTATCTAGAGGGAAAAAAAGAGACTATTTCTACTATGTCTCATTTACATAATGCCTTTAAAATACCAATTTTTAGTGCAGAAGAAACAAAAGTGTTTCAAAATCTAATTTACATAATACATGTAGATGTAGTACTACTGCACAGTTACACTGGTTCTGCAAAATACTTAGTTTTGAGTAGCAACATCTGAAGTTGGCAATTCCTAACACTTAAAAAGAGAGCTTGTGGATTTGTAACATTCATTATCATTATTTAGATTTTTCTTTTCGGCATGTGCTCATTGTTAGGTTAGACAATACATTTTTCTTAGTATGTTTATGAAAGATGAATGACATTTCAAATAAAAGCAGGCCAATGATCTATGAGATAGTTATTCTCAAGTTTAACTGAAATGGAAAAAAAAAAATTTCTTTAATTATATTCCAATGTAAACCACTATTGCCATCAGTTTATAGTAAAGCTGGACCTAAAGGGAAAGTTCCTCTCTTTCTATCTTTTTGTAAGGTTCTGGTCCAACAGTCAAGAATGCCTGAACAAGAATCAGCAGTGGGGTTGGATAGATGCACAAGGCATTTCTTTAAGAGATAAGCTTTCACATGTTTGAAGAAAAAAGAAATATCCACGGGGGAAACTTTACTGTTTAGTTGCTTTGATACTGCTGTCTGTCTCATGCATCATAAATATACTAGTAAGTATGAAAAAAGTTTCAGATTTTGTACCTGTTAAGGAAAAGAATAAATCCTTCTTAAATTCTTTCTTTCTTTTTTTTTTTTCCATTCAAAATTTAGAAGAAACAAATAATCATCTGCTTTCCAGGACAGAAAGAATAGTTTCAAGCATATGGGATATCCTGTAATATAATGCCATATTTTAATGTACATCTCCCCCTATGTCAGTGCATAGGTGCTGCTATGCATGCTTTTGCTCGTATGGCAATATTTTTGCTCCTCTATAAAATGCCTTTCATTTCCATTTTATGAAGTTACACATGAGGAAAAATGTAATTAGTCAGCTCAGAAAGTTATATATTTTATATGAAAACTTTATAATAGAATCACTATATTAAATTATATGACCATTGTTTGTAAAAGCAGCTGAAGCTGAATATTTTTCAAAGAAAAATGTGGAATTATTAATTCTGATGATTTCATAGAAAAAAATCACCAATATTCCTAAGACCCTCCCCCTCTTTTATCCATGTAGAAATCACTTTTTCTGACAGAAAGTTAGGAAAAAATATTGCCTAGCACTTTTTTACCCTTGTTCCCTCCTGTGCCTCATGGCCTGTTTAACAATCCCATCAGACAGATCACATGGCAGTTTCAGTTTAGTACTGCAGAAAGCTGCTACTCTGGGTTTAACTATCAAGTACCATTTGTAAGTGTGTTTTCTGGATGTTATGATGACTTCATGATTTTAGAATAAACGTCAGAAATTACGAGTTCATGAAATTACTTGTATTATGATTGCTCCTTTGGGAATGTTAGTGGAGAGTGAGAATGCAGCTTATGTAAAATATGGATAGCCTACATACAGAAAATATATATGAACATGAACACACTGTGTTTTTTTCCAGTCTGACTGTGTAGATTGCAGATGTGCTTCTCCTCCTTTATGTAGTCAGCAAGGAAGATTGTCTTTGATGATATGATTTTAATCAGATTTACAAGGCATTTACCATTAAACATGCAGCTTGATTTTCACATCCTAGGGAGATTTTATGCATTGCAGCAAATTCCCAAAGGACATGGTGTCCTCAGATGCTGCTAAGCCTAATACCTAGTTTTGATGTTAGGTGCGTGCCTAGTGGTTTAATTTAAAGCCTCTTGCAAAAAATATATAATTAAAATTGTCTTAGTCCTAACAAAATCATGCTGGAACTCAAATATCCTTGTTATGACTAACTGATCATCCTTCCTATTGTAATTCTTTTGCTTATTCTCTCCACCAACTTTACATGGGGTTTTGTGGGAAGATTTAGGGACAAGTGATACAAATATGGCCCTCTTCAGACTACTTCAGTATCAGGTTTCCCTACCATACCATAAATTCCATTTAAATGTAGTTCTGTAGGCCCATCACTGCCCTTCATATCAGGCCTTAAGAAAGAAATGAAAAGTGAGTTTTGGAATTTGGATCTCATGGCCATATGTTGATTAGCAACTTGTCCTTCCACAGTTACTTTGTTTCTTCAGCTTTCAGACATTCAAACAACAGCTGTAGACCAGTGATGACCTAAGATCAAAGCTAAAATGTCAGTTTGAGATTTCAGACATTTGCCAAGAACAGAAACAAAATTCAAATGGATAAGAAAGCTAATTCATCCTTCTGATTCTGAAAAGCTGGCTTTGAAAATAGTATTGTTATAAGAAAAATGACACTGACTTACTTTTAAGAATTTGGATAGTGTCAGCAGCACTGACACTGTAGTAGCACTGACACTAAGTAGTAGCATGATGTCTTATTTTAATGAGATGATAATTTAGATGCTTCTTGGCCATCCAATATTTGTCTGTCTTGTTTTCTGTGTGAAGTGTTGTGAAAGTTTTAGTCTCACCTCACTCCCTCCACTAAGAAGATAATATGTTTTGCAGCCTATAGGATGGAAGCATCAGGGACCTATGACACTGCGATGGCAGGTAAGAAAGAATATTGTTATTCAGTGACTGCTGGAGTTCTTCAGAACACCTGGTGCACTGAAGTTGTTCTTAATAACTTGATTAAAGTATGCTGAAAGAGCTTCTATTTTGAATGTGTAATTATACGAAAGAAGGAATATATTGCATTATTATTGCTCCTGAAAAAGATTTTTGCTCCTGTACCGATGCTCGAATCAGCAGTATCCTCCTACTACTCCAGAGCTTATAACAGAAACAAACACTATGATTTAAAACCTGTTTATTCTGTAATCAATCACATATTTTTGCCTTGAGGAATTTCTTTGAGAAAGAGTTTAATTTAATAAGCTGCTTGCAGTACTCCCTAAGACTTTTGATTCATTAAAGCAAGCAAGAAGGACGTTGCATGGCTCGAATAATATAATTCTTAAATTGCACTCTCAATATTGTAGATAAGTAATTTGCTGAGAGACACACGAGGTACAATATCATCATTTCACGTCTTTCAAAATCCCTTTGTATTATCTTAGTGTGTCAGCAGTAATTTTGGAAGACCTTGAGTATATAATTTTTTATATGCCTTCATATTTCAGGAATTTCATGAGGAAAGGAAAATGCAAACATCGTTCTCAGTTATTATAAATCAAATGATGGTCTTCACCTGCCTGCCATGACTTCTCAAATATAATGGATATTGGCTTAGGTTTAACTAAACCACTGCATACACCGGTAGAGAGAGGTTATGCAAACTTAACAGTTAAAATCAGTTTTATTACAGGTACACCATGATCCCAAATTCCATCCTACAGGGTTTCAGATGAAACGACACATTGGATTTTGGACTACTTTATGTGCCAGAGCATTTTTTATCATCAGATAAATTAACAAAGGGCAGAATGATACCTTTGGAATCTGATGATTGATTTTGAAGCTTCAGTTGTATATAGGTAAGCCATAATTAGCAATACTGTTGAATCAATTAATTATCAGTTTCATAAATTCAGATTATCTGGAAAATAGACCAGACTTAATCTTACAGTTCTGCCTTCAGTGGTGATTCACCTACAGTATAGGATGGTACTTGACTACATTTCATGGGGTATTTTGTGTGAGAGGTGAGGGTGAGTTGAGGCTCTTTTTTTTTCTGCTAGAGGTAGAATAGCTCAGCATAGTGGCAAATAACCAAAACTTGTAAGGGTTACTTTACTGGAGTAGGTTAAACATATGTAAACTATGATGGAAAACTCTCTTAGCTGAACTCCAATAACTTTATATGAAAACATATGAAAGACAAATTTTCATTTGTAGGAAAGGATGCATTGTAAAGACTGAAAAGGGAAAGATGTCTGTAGGATTTTTATCTTACAGTCTTGTCCACTGCGCTGTAAGTCTGAGAATTTCTAACCTGATGATATAATATCAGTCTCCTTAACAAAATAACCTGTTTGGTGAGTTTAATTCAGCACACACATAGAGGGTTGCATGTTTTATCAGATGGTGATGTTTTCTCTATCAACACCATTTACACCACCTTTAACTTTCTGGAGTAATGCAAACAATTGGGAGCTCAACTTAGAATAAAAGCTAGGAGAGGTACTCCCGTGTATGTTTTGTTATGAGCAAATGTAATAAAATAAAGCAGAGGGAAAGAATTTTCCATTTGATTTCATGGTGATTTATCACTGAGAAATCTTTCATTCCACGTGATTCCTTCCCTTCCATTCTTGCAACTGGAAGATATTTTTTCATTTACATTGGTACTGCTCAGAAAGTGTGTTATTTTGGAAAAGGTTTTCTTAGAACTTGAAAATCACATTGAATAAGGTCCAAATAGAATATTGGACCTTTTTTCCTCTAAGTTGATTATTTTTAAAAGTTGCTTTATGTTGTGATACAAAATCTAAAATTAAAAATAAAAAGGACAAGAATGAGGGTTTTTTAATGCATATGTATTAAATTTTTGTTTAGTTTTATTTTTATCTGATTTTTTTTCTTCTTGTTGTTGTCACTTGGCTAAAGGGATGTGATTTCTGATTTTTAATGTTTAAACAAATCAGTGTATCCATTATACCAACCCCTATTTTAACATTATTATGAAATAGTTTTTTCTTTGAGATGCTGAATACTATTTACTACCATTTGAGAAGATTTAAGATGTTGTACTTCAACAGAAATTCTGTTGTGCCAAATGTCACAAGGTTACCTGATAGATGTTGTTTCCTTATCTAAGAATCAATCTCCTCTTCAACAGTGAGCCTCTTGTGTTCGTTTTGATTAGTTATTTACTTTCTTTTGCTAATGGACATCTGTCAGACTATTATTTTTGGAAGCACAGATTATCCCTAAACTAATTATTTAGGTGTGTATAGACAAATTAAAAATTAACTTATGTCTGCTTCTCTGAATCAGATACAGAGGATTGGTTTGGGGTTCAGTTTGCCTGGCTACAGATTTCCATCATTGCTTTATTTCAGAAAAAAACCCTGTAACATTGGCAAAATCCACATTTATTTTTTAACCTGTACTTACATCATTGACATTTTCATATTGTATTAGATGTAAATTTGCAATAAAATTGTACCAGATGTTTATTCTGATATGCTGTGTAAACATATGCAAAATGACAACACAAAAGTTAGAATAATAGGTACAAAAGGTGAATTTTAAGGAGACTGTGGCTGCACAAGGAACAATGTCAAATACTCAGTTGGAAACAGAGTTCTGCTGTCCTTGGAGGATTTTGTTCCTCTGTCCATTACTTGAGAAAAGAAGTGTGGGGTTTTTTTGTTTTAAAATACTGTGGAGCACATAACAGAGAACTCTGAATGTGTTCTAACTGCAGAGGGACTCTGCATGTGCCTAAACCTGGGCATAGGCTAAATGTTCAAGGTGACAGTGAAATCTGCTTTAAGCAGTACAAGGGAACAGTGAAGAGACAGGGGTGATACAAAGAAGACCTTGAAGAAGAAAGAAAAGTATGTTGGGTATCACAGAATTACAGAATATGCTGAGTTAGAAGGGACCGACAAGGATCACTGAGTTCAACTCCCGGCCCTGCGCAGGACCATTCCCACAGGATCACAGAGTGGCCTGGGTTGGAAGCGACCTTAAAGATCATCTTAGTTCCAACCCCCCTGCCACTGTCAGGGACACCTTCCACTAGACCAGGTTGCTCAGAGCCCCATTCAACATCCCTTAAACACTTCAAGGGATGGGGCATCCTCTTCTCTGGGCAGCCTATTCCAGGGCCTCATCACCTTCACAGGGAAGAATTTCTTTCTAATTCCAGTCTAGACCTACTATCTTTCAGTTTGAAGCCATTCCCTCTTGTCCTGTCACTGTAAATAATCTCTCCATCTTTCCTGTAGGCTCCTTTCAAGTACTGGAAGACTGCAATTAGGTCACCCTGAAGCCTTCTCTTCTCCAGGCTGAACAATCCAAGTTCTCTCAGCCTTTCAGTATCAGCCAGGACTGCTTTATGTAAGGAGAAAGATGCTGGTTGACTTCCACATCTTGGTGTGCATTTTGAGTATTTCTTCTTTGTATGAACGGCAGGAAAGAGTGAAAGTGATTATGAAAGTAGAGAAACTGTGGAATTTTTTTTTTCTACAACGAATCAGAGCAAAAAAAACCTTTTGAAGGCTTTTTCCTTTGATTACCTTAAAATGTTGTAATGGATTGATACAGGAATGATTAGTTTGCCTACTGAGGCTTCCAGGGTATGTGTTCCTGCGTTCACATAAGGACTGTGTTTCATTACTGTTCTTAGCAGTAGAAGACTGATGAACAATAAAAATAGTTTGTCACAGTTCTTCATCTCACACTGAGATTTTGTTCTGCCTCGCGAATTTTAAACCTGTCAAAAGCTTTAAAACATTTCAAAAAAAACCTGCTATCATTTGCTGTATTAAAAATATTACCTTTATGAGATGGGAACAAAACACAGCCTTAATTTGACTCTTTCTCAGCTGTGCTCTGCTTCTTCTCTACTCTATATTCTATGTATTTCACTAGAAAATTATTATGTTACCTAATTGATAATAAATGCTGTTTTACAGATGTAATATTGCAATATTTTAGGTGTTTCTTTCTGTCTTACATAAAATATAAGAATATCGTAACTAAGGTTAGGAATTTCATTCAATTTGAAAGAAAACATTAAAGAAAGACACTGTTTATTTAGGTTTTATGAATATTTACAAAGATGAAAGTGGAGTAATAGAGTAAAAAGTATTGGTGGGTGTTTCTACAACTTTTAAGCAACACACACACACTTAAAGCAGCATATTTAAAATTCTAGGTCTGAGTTCAGTTTTTTATGCAAGTACATAAATCAATTTGTACATGTCTATCTATTTATAGATTCTTTTTGCTGGAGTTGTTCCAACATGCTGGTAATGCTTTGTAGGTCCTACGGCGTTGTAGATCATCTGAAAATGTTTTAAGTCTGGGTGATCGATTTGTTCTTGGTTTATGGAATTGACATCTAGTAACGAGAAGAAAGGCCCTGCTGCAAAAATCAATAAGTATGTGCTGAAAACCTTTTCCTGAGAAAAGTTTGTGCCGAGCTTATGGCATAGATGAAACCTTCTTGATCACAGGTTCATTTTAAACTCTGTTATTAGGCAAATGCAGCAGGATGCCTCTCCTGTGAGCCTTATTGTGAGGTCGTTTTGTTAATGGCACAGCGATGAAATGACTGCAGCAGAGAACATTGTGGGGATTCAGCATTTGTAAGCTGTCAGATGCATGACTTTGTGCAGCTGACGTTGTGTGGTTTATACAAAGCATAGTTCACATTTGAAGAAGTTGTTGCTTCCTACTTTTATGGCAAGGTTTTTGCTGGGTTTCTGAGTTACCCCTGGCTGTGGAACGTGGAAAAGACAGTCATTGTAGGGCCCATTTTCAGGAATGGTAATGTTTGGCAGGGCTGGCCTTCAAAAGTCATTGGAGACACCCTTATACTCCTCTTTCCAGGTGAGGAAGGAGGTGTCAGTCTGCTGAGCAGGTGGCACCGAGACAGGATGAATCCCCATAGCTCAGCAGATTTCTGTGGTATGGGACGAGTCACCTTTCCAGCAAAAAGGCGAGTTCATTCTTCAACTCCAGATGAAGCAGTGTTGCAGCTTTTCTTCTCAAAGCTCATTATTTAGTACAGATGTGATTCCTCTTAATAGTGCTGAGCCCAACATGGCATCCTTGTAACACAGGACTGACTGCCTTTTCAAACCTTTTTAAATATGTTTTCTGTAAATGGAAATAGGATAGAGGAATTAATTATCCCCTCAGAATTAATTCAGTGAGATTTTTTCCTATGAGCTTGGCAGAATATGCTAGGCTTCAAAGGGTCTGTGTCTCAGATTATTATTTTAAAAAAAATTGTATGATTTTTTCTCCTTTCTCTCTACAATAGTGAAAGAAACAGAAAGGTTCTAACTTAGGAAATGGCAGGAATGATAACAGCACGTGAGATGAATGGCAAATTCACAATAATTGGAAGTGTTTGCTTCATGGAAGTACTTTATCAGATGGTTTTCACTGAGAAGATTTTTTGGCAAAGTAAATAGGAATTTGTTCTGGAACAACTTTAGGACACCTCATGTAAAAAAGATATATGCTCACTGTATACCTACTCCTTTAAATTATGTTTAGAAGAGCTTATTCTAAAGGACAACTGCAGAACGCAAGTAAGGTGGTGGTGTTTGACATTTTTTCATAAGAATAATTTAAGTCTGAAACTACTGTGTTTAAGTTACATCTATGTGAGCAAATCATAGTGTTGTTAAGAATATTCTGCTGGCCATGTCTTGTCACTGAACCAGGACTGAAGTGAATATTTATAGGTCAGTGTCAAGGGAAGAAAAGGTCTATTGCTTTCTGACCTTCAAGCAACATATTTTGTCCAAAGCGAAAATAGAGTGAAAACTTCAGAGCTGACAAGAACTTGCACTGTTCAATTTGTCTGTAGAGTAGAATTTAAGTTTCATTTTTACGACTGAACATGGGTTCTGAAAATTATATATTTATAGTTTTGAACATGTTCAAGGCATTTATCATAAAATAGTAAGACTTTGTGGAAACAACTATTCCTGTTTTCTTGAAAAACATTTGCTTGTTTTGTTTCCAGAACTTTTGCCATCTGTAGCAGTGCTTCTGCACATTATTGCTTCCATTATCATTTTGAAACACGAGTAAATATAATTTTAAATTTCCAGATCAAGGACAGGTTATGCTCTTAAGATCAAACATGTTCTTGTTCATGCTCTGCAATTTGTCATTTGTACATCTGATTATCCCACTGCTGGAAAGAAGGGTTGAGATATTGTTGCCACTTATTTATATTTGTATTTAAGAATTAAACTTGCACAGCTTCATTTCTTTTTTTGATGGCATTTTATCTTGCAGTTATGTACAAATAAATAATGAATTATCTGTTCCCAGCATAAGGTCACAGCAACTGATTTTATATGTTCTTTTAAGATATTAAATAGCACTAGTCTTCATCTTTTTCTACAGCTTTTTTCCCTTCATTTCTTAACACGGCATTGTGAAACATCTGTTACTTAACGCTTTAAAGAGAAGTGTTGGTTTGTTGAAACGCGTTATTTACCAACCAAGGACTTTTCCCACTTGGGAAATGCTTTGACCCAATGCTTATGAAAATGTCACAAGATTCAGAACTGTACATTGTCACCCCGTAGGATCCCTGATTACATTGGGATTGATATTGCAGAGATGTTTAATTAGCTATTCATTCACCCTTTCCATGATCCAGGTTATTCATCACTCTCATATTTTCTGCTCCTTGGTAAACTCAGTTGGTCCTAGGGAGGGTGTGGGGCTAAGTGAGAGAAAGTCAGGGTGTGAGAGAGGCCGTGGCTGTTCAGCCAGGGGATATTTTCCAGAGGCTTCTGCCTCAAAGATCCTAAATAGCCCCATCCCATAAAGTGAGCTGGTGCATCCTCTCCATATCTCATCACCTGGGAGATCTGCACAGTTTATGTGGATGGTGCTGGAGACTTGGGAGGTTGGAAGCTAAGGGCTGAGTTTTTCTTTTTCTTGCCAGTATGATTGATTGTTTTCTAAGTATAATGAGCACAGCTGCACAGCATCCTCAGGGGTGTGGGATATGTGTAGGAGTTGTTTTGTTCGGCCAGTGTTTGTTGCTGTTCTTGGTGAAATCTTTTTTCTTTATCTTTAGTGTGATTTCTCAGGTATCTCAAAGCAAAACCAGACAGCATGACCTATGATGATGCCTTTTTAAAAATTCAGAGCTTTTTCATCACTTTCCATGTGATAGTTTGCCATTCAGTTCAAGAATAAAGAAACCCTAATACTGTCAACTGCTCAGGTAATGGAAAGGAAGAGATGTGATTGAAACAACAGCAAAACAAAGATGCTCAGCAGAAATAAGTGACCTGACACTACTACTAAAATTGCCAGTGTGCTGCTTTCAAGTGTTAGCTGGCTTCATGCACTGTTAAACAAGGGCTTCTTAAATGCTTTTGCAAAAAGACCTTTTCCCTTCTAAATTGTAGATATTTTAGTTAAATTCCACTTTTACTTTTAATCATAGTTATTGTGACATAATGTTCTATTTCATTCATATATTTCACTTGTGCTAATCTTATATCTAATTTTGCATTAGTTGTGATACCTTTCCTATCCATCTTTAAAATGCTTATTTCCAGAAGCATCACTTTTGCATTTCTGCCTGCCATATTCTTGCACATTTCTTCACTCAAAATCCACCTTAAATCATTTTTTCTTGAATTCTGTTCTCTCAGTATTATGCAGCCTGTGCCACTTGGAAGTCTATGTAATCTGTACCCCATTGAGGTAAATGATAAATCTTTGGAAATAATAAATTTATTCCTTTCTTTTTTATAGTTCTAGACACAATATCAATCTGGAGATAACCATGGAAATATTACTAAGAATGTTAAAGTTGGTCCATTTACTGATCATTGCTTACAAAATGACCTTTTGGTCATTCATAAAATATATTATTTTATAACAGCTACTTAAGATTTTCCTTCCCAAAATGTATTCTCTGGGAATGGGGAGGTAGTGGTAGCTTGCCAATGGATCATTAGAAAACAATGAATATGTAAATTATTTTATTTTCATATTGTAAACACCTGATCTGAGGTAAGAAGAGAAGGAGAACACTTTGATAAATTCTAAAACAATAACCCCCCACACATTTCCTTACACAAGTGAGGTACCCACAAACATCAAAATTTTAGTGCTTAATTGTACATAGCAATTAACACTGATCTGAAATCATATTTTCCGTGTTCCTCTCACAGCTTGGTATTCCCAAGTACTTCCCAGTGGCAACAGGATAAAGTAATCCTGTTCCCCAACCTTCATTTCTGTTTTTCCACTGTTATTTTGTTATTTTTTATATCTACTGTAAGATCATTTGAACCACCTCTATACCTGAGGTTCTTTATTTTCTACTTGGAACACTGTCTCTGATTGACTGTTCTTGCTTCCCTCTCTATTGTAGAATAAAGGTCTAAGGATAAACAGCACTGAAGGATCTCATTCACCTACAATAGTTGAAAGGTCTCCTAAAAGCCCATTACAGGCTACCAACACATCTTTTATAGGACTCAGAAACAGCTCACACATCCTTTAATTACTTGTTAACACAGGTTACTTACAAAGGGTCAAATTATTTCCATATAAATTAAAGTAGAAAGTATTTCTTCTGGTGAGAGAGGTAACTGTAAAGCAATTTTATAAATTCAAGGGAAACAAGGGTTGGTAGCCTTGGGCTAGCAGGCATATTTTGCATTG